AAGTGGAGCAATTTCTGCACCAAATGAAATTGCGAGTGAATTATGGACAAATTCCAAATGTCATTTTTGTGCCCTTTAAAGGGACGTTATTCATAATTCTTGTAATTTAGGGAAGTCTACATACAATGGGTTTTTTTTTTACGATCCTTTACGCTCACGTGATTGTGGGTGCCTGAGGTCTACTTTTGGTTAGTTACTCCCCAGCTAATGGTGCTAATCTGAAGCTCATCAGGATGGCCATGATTAAAGTACACAGAGCTGGAGAGAGAGAGACAGACAGAGAGCGGTGGATTCAGAGGGGACTAAACGTCTATCTGTATCTCTCATCTCATTAATCTGCATTTGCTCCAATCTCACTCTCCTCTGGATCATCTGCACGACAGGTGCTCAGTGAGGGGCTCTGAGGGACCCTGGCTCTCTCTCAGTCTCTCTCTCTTTCTCTCCAATTTGTTTAGGGCCACTGCTGCTTGCCAGGGGACATCTGTATTCGTCCAAAGCCAGCCATCCTCTTCTTTCTTTTAACCTTTCTCTCATTTCTTGCTGTTGTAACCATTGCACCCCTTAATTCTTCACTCGTATTCCATTTGTTTTTACTTGTATGAATGATGTATATGGCACTTTCCACAGACAGGATGCAAAACAGGATATTTGAAATAAATTAATTAGTAATTTTTCCTTGTTTTATTTGTGGTTTGAATTTTTTTGAGCCCTCTTAGCAACTGTAAGAAATGTCTTAAAACAGTTTAATTTAAAATGTATAAAATAATAACAATAATAACCCTTTATAAAATGTAATAATTAACTTATATTATTATTATTATTATTATATTTCCCCAAAGCTCATTGTTATTAGTTTACCTTTGCAACCCTGTTGCCCAGTATAGCCAATATAATAATAATAATAATTTTACAAAATATGGGAAATGTCTTTTAACAGTTAAATTTGAATGTATGATATGTATAAATTAAAATAATAATCCATGTTACACATTTTTTTCAAGTTTATATATTACTTGTTTTCCCATCATGCTGTTGAAAGGCTGCAAAATAATGTTACTTCTTGAGTGTCATGATTATAAATAATGTCACTTTTTTTGTAATGGGGAAAATTATGTAATCATTTAAAGTAGTATTTACTACAGTGAACTGATTTCAGCAAAAATCAAAGCAAATTAATGAGACCAATTTGTACCCCATACATACTGTATGCATTCAGATTTGCAATAATGTTGCCCAGGACAGCAGCCTGAGGCCAGAAACGCTGTGCTGTTTCCTTGGGTGCCTCTTTGCACGTGAAGAAACCAAGTCACCAATTTCTCTTCCATTGCAACCAATTAAACTACTGACCTCCCTGTTTGAAGGTGACTGGCCAGCTAATGAGATATAGCTCAGTGCCTTATGCATGTTTTGACGGTAACATCCTTTTATTTTTCAGCCATCACAAAAATCTTCCCTCCTTTCCTTCCGTAGCTGTGTCAGCCTTGATCTCATCATGATTATTCCTTATCTCCAAACCATTTCATCCTTATCTCCCCCTGCGCTCCTTACAATTACGCCAGCCCTCAGAAAATGGCAAACGCACGGCCTAAGAAATAGGATTGCCAAGCTTCAGTATTAGAGAGCGGCAAGCATGCCTGAGATTCCATTTATCAGGCCCAAACAGGCTCCGAATTATTTGAGTTTGTTGAATCGCTTCCCCTCGCCTTTGATCTTCCCATGCCCTTCTCTCTATTTATAAACCCCTCCTCCCCCACTCTTTCTCCCGCACTTCTCCCATATATACACACAGCCCTGGATCACTCTCTCCCAAATCCTCTTCCCAAAGATTCTTTTCACACCAGCTCCTTTATCCCCATGCACGGCTGTCCCTCGGTCCCTGGCTACCCCCTCACCGCAGGATCTTTAAATGTGGTGATTACGGGCCCGGCGTGTGCTGCAGGATTCCTAGCATGTCACTGGCTTTAAACGACTACCAAAGCCTGGTCCTCCGCCCCCTTCTCCAGCCCGATCAGGTTCCCGCAGCTTGTTAGGAGAATCAGACTCAGATACAGTGGCAGAACAACATCTCCCCCTGCACCACATGGGCTTGATGAGGCTGTTAAGACCACTGGTATTATCGTCAAGGTACTTTGTTTGTCAGCGGAGGATCTGGTAGGTTGTAGTGTCCAATCAACACGCTTGTTTTAAGCCAGTGATCTCAGATGTCATTGTGCTGGTCTTTATTGGTTTATTTTTCATGGAAGATGTGCTAAAGTGCCATACGTTATCTGAGCAGTAAGTATGAGATGTTATTCCCGTTTTTATAAACGCATGACACACACACACTCACATGCACTTACCCTGTCACAATGATTTACAGTGTGAGCCGGGCCCTGAAAAGTGTTCTTTAATTTAATGAGGTAATTATACACTAGGGGCAGGAAGCAGACTGGACCTGATTTATGCATGCTGGCCGTGGTGTTTTGTCACACACACTTTGACTCTGCTGCAAGGACAACTGTCCCCCACACGCTTCGAGTGCTTTCGTGTTCTGCTACCCCTGTGTTTCTCTCTACATCTTTCTCTTGTTGTCAACAAATCTGTGCCGTTCCTCAGCTGGCATGTGGACAGACTAAACGGGTTTGGGTCCTCTCGTCCTCTCTCGTTGGATCAGTCACACATGTCCTGAATTATGTCAGCACTGTATTGCAGTGACAAGCACACGGAGTGACGGTGTACATTGGAGCTTAGACTTGTTTATGTGGCTGAGGGGCATAGTGCCATTCAGACAAACTCTTTCCTTTTAGCCAGTTAAATGGATAGTTCACTTAAAAATGAAAGTTATGTCATTATTTATACTGTATTTTTCCTTTTTTGTTGTTGTTTGAATCACCTTACATTCATAGTGACAATGGTTTTCAAAGGTTTAAAAAACATTAAAATTTAAAAGTTGCTATTCATTAATATTCTTTAATGAAGCTCGCATTGCATTCATAGTAACCAAACATGGCATGCCAATATGAATTTTAGATGTGACGCAAGGAATCTACATTATCATGTACTATATGAGCAGTTTTATTCTTTATTCACTCTACAGAACTCCTTTTCTTCCCCTTTCAACCCTGTTACAATATTTGTTAAAACAGTTTAAAACTCTGATTATATGTTTTTATTATTATTTTTAATAGCAATATATATTAAATAAACATCAAAATAAAATAGACAGAATGTTGAAAATTGTAATTTGTTTTACATTATTAAAATTTTTAACATTTTGTTTATTTTTATGGGCTAGCTAGTTCAGGACTAAATGTTGATTTGTAGTTACTAATAAACAAATGCCACCATTCAAAAGTTTGGGGTTAGTAATGCTTTCTAATATTTTTGAAAGAAGCCTCTTATGCTCACCTGGGCTGCATTTATTTGATCAAGATTACAGTAAAAACAAATATGATGAAATATTATTAGAATTTAAAATAACTATTTCATATTTTAATGCGTTAAAATGTAATTTATTCCTGTGATGGCAAAGCTGAATTTTCAGCAGCCATTACTTCAGTCTAGAGTGTCACATGACTTCAGAAATCTTTCTTATAAATGTAAAACATTCTCATAAATTTAAAAAGAATGTGTTATTTTTGCTGTGGTGATGATGAAGGGCAGTAAATAATGGTTTGAATTTAAGTGTATATGGCATCAGGAGACTTGAAATACAGTGAATGAGTCATAAGGATCACTTTCTTGATATCTTATTGTGCTTTAATGGTGTTTTTATGCTTTTATGATTTTATGGTGTCTTCTTTTGGAGCTTGAAATCCTCTGATAACTATATACTTAAAGGAACTGTCTTCTTTTCGTGTCTCTTGGAACAAATAACAACATCTGAGGATGAGTAAATTGCACATTTTTCATTTTTAGGTGAACTGTCTCTTTAAGGCACACTGCGGCACTTTTGAAAAGAACTGTTTGCAGGAAAAGGGAGTATTTAGAGTGTGAGTCATGTGACAGTTGTTGAGCATTGCATCAGGGACCAGCAGTGCCCACAAGCGACCACTGGCACTTTCTCCCTCTCTCTCTCTCACTTTCTCACCAGCAATCTTACAACCAGTCTGCCTCCTTATTCTTGCTGTTCTCCTTCTCTCCCTCGCTCTTTATCTCCCTGTGTGCTGTGCAGCCAGTGAGGAGTCGTGCATGCCTAATTTGAGTTAATGATGCCAGGGCTCGTCCAGGCCTGAGGCTGCAGCAGGAGAGCAGGAGGAACAGCTGTAGCCAGGCTGAGACCACATATCTCTCAATCTCAATTTCTCCTTCATTCTTTCTCCCCGCGCATCCTGACATGTGTGCCCACAGCAGCCCCAACTGCAGCACAACCTCATGACGTCTCCTACGTCAGGAAACCATCTCAACTGCGCTTGGAAGAGCCGGAGAAATCAGGTGAGAGTAGAGGCTTGACGAGCAATCTTGAAATAGAAGCGGAGAAGGAAAAATCATCCAAGATTAAAAAGGAGACAGGCAGCAAGAGGAAGAGGAAGAGAGATAGAAGGGAACAGATTTAAGACTGCAGGGAATTTGAGGCAAGGAAAATCCAGCAGCAGAAATTAAGCAGCTTAAAGTAACTGCTCGCTAAAGCTTAATTCTGATGAGAGGGTCCTCGCACGGTCTCATGCAAGAGGTTGCGCGGGCTGTAAAGGATAAGAGAAGACAGGCTGCCAGGGAACAGAGACTCGGTGACGTGGATTGGGAGACAGAAAGAGAGAGATAGAGGGGGCTGTTTCATAACCAAAGGTTGACATCTCTCTGATGAGTTTTGTGCTGACAAAAAATGTGTCGGCACAGCCACCTCTGAGCCTCCATGTTTCACCTCTGTAAAGCATGAAAGTCAGAATTTGAGCAAAGGCGCTTTATTCAGGCTTGATGTTACAAATTTAACCCGGTGACAGGATTCTAAGCTCATTTGGAAAGTTTAAAGTAAGAATTAGTGCATTCGGCTTTTTAAACTTCCTTTTTTCTTGTCTCTGCAGGAAGCATCAACCGAACAGGGGCTGTCCCTACATTTCTGCGGACCCCCACAGTCATCCAGCCTCATCTGGATATGAAGCCCTTCCTACAGTTTTCAATGGAGACTCCTCCTCCACACAGTGTTGGGCTCTTCCACAACTTCAACACGGTGAGATTAGGCCACTGAAAACCTCTGTTAACAGTGCTGCATTATTGCATTACTCTGAAAAAAGAACAAATTATGCTATATGGAAAGTGTTGTTGGGTCACCTCAAGCCACTTGCTTTAGATAAGACACAGTGTCTATAAAGGTCATTGCCTAGTATGTCACAACATTATTGGAAAGTTTGTCAGTTAAAAAAATACAGTAACAGAATATGAAAAGTTACACATAAATGATCTTGAATTACCAGATCAAATTAACTTGTCCAGGGCCCACATTATTTCATTATTTCCGGTAAATTCTGTAACAAATACACTTGGACAAATACACTACCGTTTTTTTACTGATACTTTCATTCAGCAAGGACACATTAAACTGATCAAATTATTTTTATTTCTATCTTAAATACATGCTTTTGAACTTTCTATTCATCAAAGAATGCTAAAAAAAACATCATAGTTTACACCAAAATATTAATCAGCACAACTGTTTTCAACATTGATAGTAATAAGAAATATTTATTGAGCACAAAATCATCATATTAGAATGATTTCTCAAGGATCATGTGACACTAAAAACTGAAATAATGATGCTGAAAATTCAGCTTTGCCATCAAAGGAATAAGTAACTTTTTAAAATAGAAAACTGTTGTTTTAAAATGTAATAATTTTCACAATATTACTGTATTTTTGGTCAGATAATTGTAGCCTTGCTGGGCAGAAGAGACTTCTTTTAAAAACATTAAAAAATCTTTCTGACCTCAAACATTTAAACCAATCATAACAAAGGAAATGGCTTTTAAATATTCAGATATAATTGAATAAATAAAAAGTATAATATTAAAAGCAAGCAAAAATGTAAACAATTTCATGTAATTCCAGATCCTTGTTGTTATTATTGTTTTTTCTTCTGTGGAACACAAAAGGGGGGGGCAGTGAGGGATGAGAGGATGATGATTGTAACTGTCAAGCTATTTAAAGCACATAAAAATATCATAAAGTTTACTAAAGCCATATTTAAAGGGATAGTTTAGCCAGACATTTATATTCTGTCATTTTAATCACCCTTATGCCATTCCAAACCTCTGATTTTCTTTCTTCTCTGGAACATAAATGTTATTTTGTTATTTTGAGAAATGTTTTTATCCGTACAATGGAAGTCAATGGTCACCAAAACATTTTGGCTACCAACATTCTACAAAATATACTTTATGTTTCACAGAAAAAAAATAAAGTCATACATGTTTTGAACAACTTGATGGTGAGTAAATGATGACAATTTAATTTTATGTGCACTATTCCTTTAAGTCAATATTTCCTGAAAATATTCCCCTCCACCATTCAGGTCTGATGTATTATTACATTGTAATACATTAATGCATTCTCATCATTACTTTCAAGTAGGGATCTGATTATGTAAAGATAACCTTAAATATTATAGCTGGTTTGTTTGTATATTGAAATTTGCCTGACTGCTGTCCGTCGGACAGTGTAATACTGTATGAGTTATCTCATGTCATCGTGACTTATAGCTAATCATTTTGATTAGCATGCAGGTCGTTTCACTCTCTCAGCACTTTTACTCCGAGACTGTTCTGCACATTTCCCAGATTGCATTCTGTTATGTAAATGAGGATGCAGGTCAGCAAATTGAATGGGAAAGGTTAGTCATGGGATCCAGCCATGTCTGAACTGTCTGTTGTATGTATTCTCTCTCCTAAAATTCCCTGTATTTGCCTGCACTTGTTGCCAGTGTGAAAGATGGCCTACCCTTTGGCACAGTCTCGTAACGCTGAGAAGGAAAAACACTCTCCCCATGCCAGCTCAATAAATCGACATCACACATTGCCTTCCAATTCTGCCACATTATTATCTTTTTAGTAAAAGCCAAGGGATGTTTAAATATTTAGAAATATGCATGAGCTCGTGAAAGAATCAGAATCTAAGAGCTTAACTACTGTCTCTTGTACTTAACGCCATTTATTATATATTCAGACACTGAGCGGTAATCTTTAGATTGAGGCAGTTTTAGCATTGCAGCAGGCTATTAATCACAACGGTTAAAGACTCAATGTGAGAGTGACCAGATGTCTGATGGGGAAATTCTCCTGATGCCCAGTAGGGGGCGATGTTGGAGAGGCTGGAAGGACAGGCTGACCTCTCTCTAGGACACTGCAGTGTTTACGCCATCGCCTAATGGAATGCTGACATTTACAAGAATTCCCTCACACAGGTTGTAATATATATAGGCTTCTACTGAGGTATTAAACAGTCATCAGTTGTGTGATTTAATAAAGTACGTTTTGACATTTGAATATGATTTGATTTAAAATGAAAGATTAGCATACACAGAACGGAACCCTAGCTTCACTTTACATTTATATTTATTCATTTTATAATACATTTTTTATTGTTTATAAAACGTCTGCCAAATGCATAAAATAAATAAATAATATAAAAATGGTTATTTTTATTACTATTTATTAATTTAGCAGAATTTTAATAAATTAAATTAGAACTTATGATAATGATCAAATGTACCCTTTCATATATACTGTTGTTTGAAAGTGTTTGAAATTGAGTCTACTGAATCAGTTCATCCCAAGAAGTTCTCTCTGTCATATGTAGCACTGGAAAATGCGATTCATTGTAATGAATCTGTTAGGTCGAATAGATTAATAAAAGGGCTCATATGATGTTGCTAAAAAGAACATTATTTTGTGTATTTGGTGTGATGAAATGTGTTTATGCGGTTTAAGGTTCAAAAAACACATTATTTTCCACATACTGTACATTATTGTTTCTCCTCTATGCCCCGCCTTTCTGAAACGCGTCGATTTTTAC